CAAGTGCACTGTCTGGTCCGTGGCCCGGGGTCTGCCACGTACTAGCTGTGAGGTCCTGAACGTAACACTTAGCCTCTCTGAGTTTCAATTTCTTGTCTATAGAATGAGGACTAAAAGCATATCAACATCATAGTGTCGACAGGAGCATTCAAGGAGATCATCCTTTTAAAATATGAAGGACAGTGCTCTGCATACAGCAAGTGCTCAATGGATGCTAGCTAGCCCGGGTGCGAGTAGAAACACAACTCTGCCCTTGAATCTCAGACCTGGCATGAGAGTCGCACCGATTATCCGACAGCTACCGTATTTCAGTTTCTTGATCAAGTCTCTCGCTTCGCTTTTCTCGGTGCTTGGAAGAGGAACTGCACTTAGCGCCTCCAAAACCGTTGATTTGCTCTGGCCCATTTGGTAAGGAGTGTCTGATACAGATGCAGATTGCTTGGAAATTGGCTTGGGGTCTTCAGGGACTTCTGCTGTTGAACTGAGAAGACAGCCTCATCGAGTGCAGTGCCTCTAGCACTTCTGGGGGCTTGGGGATTCTCCACCACTACTGTTTCTCGAAGAGCCTCTTTGTTTTCTAGAAAACTCTCGCAGGAGACGAACGCGCCACCCCGCGGAGTTTTACTGCCGAGTTTCGGTGTCAGTATTTCATTCTCCGTGTCCTTTTCTCTTGCCTCAATTTCGTGGCGGCCATCACAGTGTGAGATTTTGTTTGGAAGGTGACATCTTTTCCTTTTCCTTGGCTCTTTTGGGGAGTAGCTGGCTCCACGTTATCATTGAAAGGCAGTGTGGCACAGACACGGCTTCAGACTTCGGCTCTACCCCTTTCCCAGCTGTTCAGCTAAAGGAGAGTCACAATGCCTCTCTGCGCCTTTATTTTCTCGCCTTTATTTTTATTTCATTTTATTTGATTACTTATTTTTTGAGTCGGAGTCTCACTCCGTCGCCCAGACTGGAGTGCAGTGGCACAATCATGGCTACCGCAGCCTCGACCTGCAGGGCTCAGGTGATCCTTCTGCCTCAGCCTTCTAAATAACTGGAACCACAGTCACACACGACCATGCCGGGCCTATTTTGTTTTATTTTATTTTTTTATTATAGAGATGAAGTTTTGCTATGTTGCCCAGGCTGGTCTCAAGCCCCTGGACTCAGGCAGTTCTCTCTCACCTCCGCCCCCCAAAGTGCTGGGATGACAGGCATGAACCACCATGCCTGGTCCGTTTTCTCACCTTTAGGACAAGGAGGCTAGACTGGCCATCTGGAAGGCCTTCTAACTTTTTTGTTTTTCTAAGAGATAGGGTCTTGCTCTATCGTCCAGGCTGGAGTGCAGTGGCACGATCATAGCTCACTGTAGACTTGAACTCCTGGACTCAAGCGATCCTCCTGCCTCAGCCTCCCAAGTAGCTGGGACTTTGGGGTTAGCCCTAGTGCTGTCTTTAGCCCTAGTGCTGGTTTGTGGGCAAAGCAAGCACTTTGTTTTCTGTTGGACGGCACCTATTTGATAACTGCTATCCTCTGCCACGCAGCCGTCTTCTCCTTTTCCACGCTCCCACGTGTTTGTGTCAAGAAGCTGGCTGTGCTTTCTCACGGGGTTAGAGTCTGCTTGCCTCCGCATGTCCACCCTTCTGTGCTGCCGTGCACAGCTCCCATTACACATTTATGCTCTCCTTTGCTGAAAGAGGCTTGCTCAGGGTGCTGCTGGTGAGTGCACGGCGGGCTTGGTGATGGGAAAACTTCCTGCAGTGTGTGTTTTCCATTCTTGAGAATGGCCTTCTGGAAGCATATATGGCTCTGGCAAGAGCGTGGGCAATTTTTTTCTGCTCTTCAAGTGTTACCCGTGCACTGATGAAGCCCTTGAGAGCACTCTGAGTGCAGCGGCTGGCATCTGTCAGCTCAGAGGTCCCACACACTCAGAGGTCCCCTTACAGGACCTGCGGCCGGGGACGACAACACTCTGGCATGCTTCTTCTTAGCCATGGGCCTCTTCTTTCACTTGGTTAAAATGTCTGCGTGGCGCTACCCAACTTCAGCTTTTTAAGCAGAATTTGGAAAAGCGCCTTTCAGTCAACTGTTCCATGGAGGACTTGTGGCATGCAGAAGCTTCTCTGCGCTGGAAATTGGCCTCACCCTTTGCAAGAGAGAAAGCCGGTAGACATAAACTTCACAACAAGTCTCTAGCTCAGCTAGAAACACCTTTCCAGGCACCCAGTCTTTCTTCTTTTCTCCTGAAGCTAGGTGGGGGATTTCGTCACAAAACCCTGGATCATGAGGAATCACGTCATGTGTGACGGGTTGTGGGAATCATGCCGCTGACAACCAGAATCCAGAAGCATTTAAATTCCTGTGTATTGAGAGAGAGGCACACTCCTTTTCCCAGCTGCTTTGTAAACCTTAAAGTCAGGGGCTGGGAGGAACTGGGGGTCTGCGTCTGTCTAGCTTCCAAACCTCTGCATCTTCCTTAACTCTCCTCTGTCCGGGGCCTTTTGTGGCCAACAAGTGGCGTATTATGAGTCTACCTAGGAATTGATAGATGTAGCTGTCACTGTCCACTTCAGGTCCACGCCACCGAGGGATGGTCAGGAGGCGGTGGCTTCTATTGACACCAAAAGCCAGTAAAAGGAAACCCACCACAAAGCCAACACGAATTCCTCCTTGCATCTCTCTGGGAGTCAGAAGGGACCTCTTGTCTGGCAGCTCTACTTGTTCTGGAGTGTCAGGGAACGCAGTGCGTGAGTCAGCCACCTCAGGCCAGGCTGGAGGAAAATGTCGCATTGCATGGTGACGCTCAGTGGCATTGCAGGAGTCCCTCGTTGCATGGTGACGCTCAGTCCCTCACTGCGAGCCTCTCCTCAGCCTACAAAAGTCACAGTCTGTGGTTTCAACTGTTAGTAAAAAAAAAAAAAAAGCATTTCCAGCATTTACATTTGGTCCCAGCCTCTCCCTCTTTAAAGGAGACTAACATCCATGAACCAATTAAACTTGCCCCATCCGCGGGGGGCCTTCAGTGTTGCAGAGGGCAGAGGATAGTTCTCAGGCGTTTACTGGGCACCTAGGTGTTCTCCAAGCAGAAGCCGGGCCCTGCCCTCAGGGGGGCGTATAGGCTGTGTGTGGTAAGAGATTATAGGGCCGTGGTGTCCGGGGCACCGTGCTGCAGCAGTCTGGAAAGGAGACTCTCCCCTGAAGGGTAAGACAGCATGGAGCTGAGACTTCCCTGGAAGGAAGGGGGGGATGATGTAAGAAGGAAGAGAAGGGCATGGCCAGAGCATGGGGCTCACGGCGCACAAGCCACCAGAGAGCTTGGTCCAGTGACACCAGGAGGCTGAGGGTCTGGCTGGGAAGGCGGGTGCAGAGGGTGCCTGGGAGGCTCCAGACACCCTTTCCATCTGAACTCTAGACTACGGGGGACCAGGGATGGTTTTCACACAGGCAGTGGAGTGACAGCAAGGGACTTTCATGAGGACTGGCCTCCGCAGGGGGCGGACAGTTGGGCAGAGGGCACGACCGGATGCTGTGGCAAAGCCAGAGCAGGCGCTTAGAAGCTGAGCTGCGAAGGCAGCGATGGAAGAGGAGACAGGGCAGGTGCAACAGACACCTGAGATCTAAGACATCTAAGAGGAAGGCTGTGTCAAGAGGGCCTCCGAGGCTTTTGGCCTTCTGGCCTCCAAGAGGGTGGGTCGACCTGAAGGGAGGAAGAGAATCTGCGTCATTCCTGGGTGTGAGGTGACGGAGGGACAGCTGATGATGGCTTCAGCTGACGACGGCTCTGCACACCCGGGGAGGCTGGGCTGCTGGATGTGTCGCCGTGGGGGGAGGAGGAAACACGCAGCTCAGGGATGTGGCAGGCGAGGTCAACTTCAAGGGAGGGGGCATGGAGGGAGGCGCTTCGGAGACAGCATTGGGAGGATGTGGGATCGGCCTGGCGGATGGCAAGAAGGTGAAGGGGCTGGGGATATACGGCTAGGTGACACAGCCCCGCCTTCCCAGGGCGGCACAGAGGCAGGGCAGTGGTAGACCAGCACTGGTTGACGGGGAGGAGCAGGGCATTTGGAGGGAGGAAGGGAGCCCAGGAGAGGACAGAGGGGGTGTGGGGGTGGAAAAGGGCGCGCTCTCCCCTGCCAACTGCAAGGGCAGGCAGTGCCCGCTTCATGGCGACGGGGGAAGGCAAGGCAGGGAGGCCAGCTGAGGGCAGCTGTGCTCGTGAGGGCATGTCTGTGGACCGGGCCTCCCTGCCTCCAGGCTCCAGCTAGTCGAGGCCTCCAGGGCCCAAAGTCCTGCAGCTGGGGGTTGGGGGACAGAGTCTGCTCCTTGGGACTTGACCCGATCTGCTCGCACTGCTGGCTCGAAGCTCTTGATTCACTTCAAGGCGTCTTTCACTCATGGAAATGCCATAAACACCAGCAGTAAAGAGCCCATTGGCTGGTCCCCCGCTCTGCACACCTGCCAGGCCCAGCACCTGCAGCACTACTTGGAGAGGACAGGGATGCCCATCAGTCCCCGCAGGGGTGGCCGAGCGGCGCCCCCCAAGCCTGAAGGAAAGAGGCGGTGCCAGGGAGGGGAGAGGCAAGCAGACGGCAGAGATCCACTTGGCTACTGGAGAGACCACAGCTGAATCTCTTGCTGAGGAGAAGACTGAAACCAGGTCATCTCCCTCCCGTCTCCGTCTGGGTTTGGAATGCACAGAGACACTGGCAAAGGAAGACACACACGCGCACACGCACGCGCGCACACGCACGCACACACACACACACACACACACACACATGCGCACCTGCAGAGGGAGACACGAATCTGAACAGAGCAGAGGTGCAGACACACAGCTGATGGCAGGCACAGACCGCTTGCTAAGGAGCTGAGACACACCTGGCGTGCTCGTTGGGGACACCCTGCAGTCCCGCCGGCTCCTCCCTCCCCATGCCAGAGCTGCCTTTCCAGCCCGCCTGGAGTGAGCAGAGGCAGGCCCCTCTTTTCCAGGCCTCACCCCTTCCCCTTTGTTTTTCCAGGTCGTGACATGGCGAGCACCACTCTGCCCGGTTACCCCCCTCACGTGCCCCCCACTGGCCAGGGAAGCTACCCCACCTCCACCCTGGCAGGAATGGTGCCTGGTAGGTGACAATGCCGCGGCTGCCTCCTCTAGGTGGGGGTAGCAGAACTGTGGGTGAGCTGCTGAGGGGTTTGTAGTCTGAGGCTGGGGGTGGGGGAAGCCCCAGTGCCCCGTCCTGCAGGCCACTGCTGCTTTGTCCCTCTCCCTAGAGGCTGCAGGGGGTCCCTCACCCTCTAGTATGGGCCGCCCCGGGGAGAAAGCTTGCAGCAGTGCCCTCTTGTGTGCGGCCCACTGAATGCCATGGCCCCTCCGCGGCGCCCACCCACCCC